CCTAGAATTTTTATTAATGTCAATTTTTCAGTTTGGTAAGTAGAAGTTTATTTATTACCAATGGAGGAAGATACACAGGAAACAACCATCTGCTGGAAGTAACACTCTTTTGCGGAAATACTTTTAACGGAAAAACTTTTCCGTTAAAAGTATTTCCGCAAAAGAGTGTTTAGATTGGCAAGGATGCTTTTGCGCAAAAAGTGCTTTTGTGCAAAAGCATCCGTGCCAATCTAGACAAGCTTTTGTGCAAGAAAGCTATGATGGCCATTTTAGCCATTGGGCTTTCTTGCGCAAAAAATTAAGGTGCCTGTCTACACTGAGTGGGAGTGTGAAAGTATTTGCGCAAGAAGCACTGATTTTGTACATTACAAAGTCAGCGTTCTTGCACAATTCAAGCAGCCAGTGTAGACAGCTGGCAAGTTTTTGTGCAAAAGCAATTGCTTTTGCGCAAAATCTTGCCAGTCTAGATGCACCCTCACTGTTTAGCTTAGTCAGTTGTCATGGGAATTGAGGATGACAGAAGCAGAGCCAGCTGTGCTCCTTTACCTTCCTGGGGGAGAATTGTAAACATTTAAACCCAAAGCTGGCATATGTAGTAAGAGCAAAACTAGGACTGTATTGAACTCCCTCCTCTGGCCAATCAAGTGAAGAACTTCAACATTCCCTCCTCCATGAGTTTGTTCAAATATTTGGAAACAGCAAGAGATGTGTGCTTTAAACAACCATATTGACAACCTCCCTGCCACCCGTGGAATGGCATCCTGGATGAAAAATGGCCCATTACTCTGCTTCCATCTGAATCCATCTGCTGGGAGAATTATATGAATCCAAGACTCTAGCTGGGAGTGAAGACTCCATGTCAGGCTGTAATTAGAGCCCAATAGAGACGTTGACAGAGCTACACAGCTTTACATGGGCTGAGGACGTGCCAATGTTTTAGGAGGGATCTGTCATTAGTCGAGCGTGCACCAAAGAGAGTACCTGAAAATACTGCTGTAGAAGTATAAAAAGGCCATCAGCCCTGGCTGGAGCCAAGATGCAAACAAGCAGTTAAGGACAGCTGATAGGATAGGATAAGAATATAGTACAGCAGAGAGAGGATGAAAGTATTGTGGGACACAGATTATCACACTTCTGCCTACTGCAACTCTCTCACATCTCGCTCTGGATCACCTGTACTGGCCATGGTCTCAGACTACACGGGTCTGGGGTCAGAGCCACTTTGCAAATTCCTACAGTTTTAGCGTTTGTGAAATTGCATTTTAGTACAGCTTGAACCTCTCTAGTCTGGCATCCTTAGGACCTGACCGGTGCTGAACTGGAGAATTTGCTGAACACCAGAAGGTCAATATTGTCTAGTAGCATTACCAACACTTCCACTGTGTACTGGGCTCTTAGGAGACATTTAGGGGTAAATTGGAGCTAAATAACAGCAAAAAACATAGAGAGCCAGGATTGGTGGCTGTAAAAAAACTTTATGGGACCACAGGAAACTTGGCCGCCCGCCCCCATGATAATAGGACATCCAGCTAACTAAAATCATGCTGGACCACAGATGTTGCCAGATCAGAGAGTGTCAGACTAGAGAGGTTCAGCCTGTACTTCTTTATTAGTTGCAATAGCTATGGGGCAGGGGATTGCATGTTTGAAGGGATGCTGATTTGATTTATATCTTGCTAAACTGGTTTATCCATTTCGTGGTTGTGCTGCTGATGTCCTATTTTATTGCAGTGACCCAGATAGACAAAGAATGGTGTTTTCATGAGCATATCCTCAAATTAGGCACTGAGGGAGGGAGGCAAGACAATGAGTCACCATGAACATTCCCCTCCTGCCACAAGACAAACCCAGTCCAAACCTTTTTCAGAGCCTCAGCAGAGCTGAATTCAGGACTTGCTCTCACATTTTCTAGAACATTTAAATAGCACGATATATCCTGGTGAGCTCCTGAAAGTTACGGCAGCCCCAACAATGAAACGAGCACTGTTTGGGAAGACACCAGTTCTTGCTTGGTGTTCACTACAGGACTGGAGTATATCTTTTAAAGCAACAGATCAGTGTCTGCTTCCCTCTCCTAACTGTGTCCAGTATTTGGGTGGTCACTCAGCAAAGATTCAAATGCCACCCCGTTGATTAACAGAGTGAGGATGTTAAGGACTAGTTGAGTCAACTAGTTGATTCCCTCAGCCCCCCTTCATGCTTCTATCAGATAGAGGCAGCAAAGGGGGGGGGAGGGTACTTCAAAGCAGTAGTGCTGCACAGAGCTGACCCTGGGTTCCATGTGGCATTACCCCTTTGAAACGCCGCTGCAGTGCTTCAAAGTAGCAGTACTGCATGGAGCCTGGGGTCAATTGGGGACTCCCTGCAGCATTTCCACAGAACCTGGAGTCAGCTGGGGAGTCCCTAGATGACCCTGGGCTCCATGCGACACTGCCGCTTTGAAATGCTGAGCAGAGCATGGAGCCCCCCCCGTTGACCCTAGGCTCCATGAGGGCTTTTCTGCTTTGAAATACCCAAGAGCTGGGGACTCTTGCATATTTCAAAGCTGGAACGCCATGTGCAGCCCGGGACCAGAGGGAAGTCCCGCTGACTCCAGGCTCCATGTGGGTGCTTCTGCTTTGAAATGCACAAAAGTTCCACATTCCTCCTTTGAAATATACAAGAGCCCCAGTGGAAGTGCCTATCGACTACTCGACTAGTAAATTACTCATTAGTTAGCATCCTTATAACAGAGTGCCCATATCCTCCCACATGGTGCACATCTGTACATGCTTTGCTGCACACAACAAAATTTATTCCACACATGGATGGAAAAAATAGCGGGAACATTAACTGTGTCCCTTTTGAAAACCAGCCAAACCTCTAGGTTCTCTCCTGTGTTTCTTGACTCTGGTGACACCAGTTTGGGCAGCTGACCAGGTTGTTGGAGGCGAACTTCAAAGCAGGGGGTGGTGCATTACCTCAGAGCCTTTGGAGCAGCTGTTGTCAGACTGTTGTCCCCCTTACACTACACATGCAGCCAACCCCTTCTTAATTTAAAACCTTCCAGACATACAGTGTCTCCAACACAGTCAGACAAACAGAGAGAACCTATCCTATTTACAAATGATTACAGAGCAGCTCCAAATACACCATGGAAACATGGCCCCTCACTCTCCTTGGCATAAACCTGCAGAGGCCTGGCACACCAGAAGCAGCCAGGTGGTGTGTAACTGCAAAGCCCTTCCTTTCATACTAGGAATCTCAGGGAGAGATAGTCTTCCTACAGTCAGAAACCCTCCTTCAGCCTTTGCTGAGGGTTAGCACAACCCGTCAAGGACTAATCTAACCATGTCTTTTCCATATGATAAATCTGTTGAGCCATGGCAGATTGGCCAAGGGCGGCAGCGTGGGGCCTATTTCTTTCGGTTCAAAGGGGACATGGGTGGCCAGGAGGGGAAGATTCTGTGGTAGAGGCTAAAGGGTGGGGTGTCCTGGGTGAAGGAATGGCAAGTTGTAGGCAGTTGGCAGAGTACTTACTGGAACCCACCAGGGTCCAGCAGCAGAATCATCTACAGTGCTTGCCCAGGTCAAAATTTGCTACCAAGGACAGTTCCACGAGAAAGTTTGGTGATGAGTGTACAGATTGAACCTCCCTGGTCTGGCACCCTGGGAACCTGGCCAGCCCCAGACAAGGGAGTTTGCCTGACCAAGGAAGGTCTGGGAGTAGAGGACGCCAGGCTCCCCACTCCAGTCCTCAGCCCCTTGGCCCCATGAGTTGTGGCAGCCCCACCAAACTATGGATGTTGCCAGACCAGAGAGCCTGGGACCACAGAGGTTCAACCTGTAGTATTTCAGAGAATTCGTGAGATGCTATCTTTCTTCAGGAATCTGGTACTTTTATTTTATAAAAGAGCTGAACTGTTCTCTAAAACAGTCTAGTGATGAGGAAAAACTTGAAGGAGTGATCATTTGAAGTGTAAAATAATAAGAGGCAAAAAAAAGAAAGAAAAGAAACATGAGCACTGGACGAATGGTCATTGTAAGCAGATCTGATGCCCCTATGGGAGGAAAAGAAAGGATTCATTGCCTATTTCACCAGGGCATTCTCTCTAGCCCACAAACAAGGCACTGGTAGGCCTACATACTGTGTGTTCTGCACCTTTTTGTGTGTGTCTGTTGTTCAGTTTGTATAAAGCACTGGCAGATCAGATGTGTGTGTGTGGAAAGTTTGATTTGAATTGAAAGGCATGAGATATTGTGAAATATGTACATTATAAAACACCTGTGATAACAGAAAGTGGTATTTGTTGTCTATGTAAAGTGCGTGGCTTCTTTTCATTACTTAATAAATTATTTAATTATGCATATTTTTACAGCTGGATAAATATTTTAATTTCTATTTACTGCAAGTAGCATTAACTAACTGCTTTCTATAATCCCTTTATAAATCTAATTTGCAACACATTTTATTTTATATAAAGTCCATGTTCTCTTTTAGTTTATATTCCAAGTGCTTATTTCAATGGTCTGGATTAATTTTTTTTTGATTGGTG